GGATCGCAACCGAGGGTTTGTTCGGCTTGGAGATGTTCGAGCAGGGCAGCAGCCCGTCTGAGGCTCAGCTGCGAGGCAGTGTTTGGAAGTGCATTTGAGATGTCTGTAAAGTTTGAGGAGTCCTTTATAGAGAGCTGGCGGGGGTTTCTACTGGTCGGTTTGGTTTACACATGGGCTTAAAGTCGGAAGAAAATCGGGAAAGTAAGGAGAAGGCAGCTCACAGGGTAATGCTGCAGCAGAGCAGATGGATGTAATTCATTTGCAGATCTGTCTGTGGAAGTTTTACAAGTCATTGCAAACTAAGTAGCATCCCTAGAATGGATCATTAAAGTCTCACTGTATGGATTCTGAACAAGCGACCTGAAACGTTAATTAAATGTAAGGGGAAAAAATGACGTTTGAGAAGGGATAGGGGGAGAAATGCAATAGGAATTTAGTTAGGGAAGCACTCTGCTATCATTTTTATTGAAATTAACTGCTAAATTCATTGATGTCTGCATGGGGGAAGCCCAGCAACTGAGGTAAGAAGTCAGAAATGCTATGGACTATGTCAACTTTTAGAGTTAGGATGGTCTCGTTGCATTACTCTGAATTACTAGAGAATGAGCTTTTTGCCTTTTAAGATAAATAATGTACTGTGTCTATGTCTTCCTGTGCAGAGCAACAACCTGATTTGTTTCTTCGCGCTGTAACAGATCTTCACACTGACTCGCACATACCTGTGTGCCTATGAGTTACTGGCCTCCTACTTGTGAAGCAAATCTCACACTCTCCTCACCACTTACAGGTGAGATTTTCTATAAGTAATGCTGTATATAATGTGTGCTGAAATGAGATCTGTGTACTAGGCTGAGCAAGGGGATTTATAGCTGGTGCTTTGGGATTTTGGCATTCAGTTGTGTAGCAATGCCCATTAAACCGTGTTTCAAGTTGCACATGGAGTTTTGTCTCAAACCAACTTTTTCTCTTTGGCCCCCTTACAGACTGGTCTTAGCCTGTATATTGAGATACACTCTTTGGTAAGTGAGTAGCCACAAAAGGCACCACAGCAGTTCCAAACAATAAGTTAAATCCTTAATGAGGCAGCATGACTAGATCAATACTTATGTGGAAAAAACTTCACAGTTTTGACTTTTTGCTCTGTCTTTATCACTGGAAAAAGTGATGGAAACTTTACAAGCTTCAAAAAAAAAAAAAAAAAAAAAAAAAAAACCCCAACCAACCAAGCCCCCTCTCTGTGACTCTGCATTAAAGCCTTTCATGCCATGTGCATTGAATTTCTCCTTTTCCCTCTTCCCAGCCTGTCTGTGAGAAGCCCATAAGCCAGCTTCAGCACGCAGTGCTTCAGCCATCCAAGCAGAATAAGGTGAGCACTGCAGTGCTGTGAGATGTTCAACCTGTGCTGTCACTGCCCTCTCTGTGGGCACCATCAGGCCATAGATCACATCATCTATAAGAAAACATATTTTTTCCAGAAACTGAGTCTCTAACTGCACGTGCCCATCATGTAATTGCTTCAATAAGAAAAAAAAAAACAACAATGAAGTTTCTCTAGCACTGCCAGAAAATCCTACCGAGAACTAGGAACAGCAAATCATGTTTTTCCTTCCTTTATAATGATGGGGCTGTTTAAAAGACAATGCCCACAGGGCAGTCCAGCTTCTTGTCAAAATGTAATCTACTGTTCCAGATGGTAAACATTCAAAGACATATTTATGGTGACTTCTACATACCTGCCTTTGACATTGGCTTTTTTTTTTCTTCCCTGAGAGCACTTGTGCTGGGTACACACATGAAGTTCCCATTAGCATCCCAGCAGCTGTAAAAGTGTTCAGAGCTCTCAGAGATGTTCCTCACAGTGAGATAAAAGTAATCTGAGGGAGAGATCTGAGACCGGTGTGACTTTAGGACATCCGTGATACGCTCAAGGTTAGAAATTCCAGGGGAACAAAAAAATCTATAAGCCACTGTATGAAAGCTGTAAGATGTTCTTGTTGCGGCTAATTCATCTCTGTTTGATAGGGAATGCTGAACATACCAGGCATGTCTGTACTATCAACTGCGTTTGTGATGTGAGAGAATCTGCAGTGCACAAAATGTGGTGGGTTTGTTTTTCCCCCACGTATCCCCTCCACTCCTAGATACTGGAATCACAGCATCATAGAATGGCTGAGGCTGGGGGGGTCCTTAAAGCTCATGGAGCTCCAGTCCCCTGCTGTGGGTACTGGTGACCAGATTGGTATTGATCGTCTTCATAGTTTTTTTTTTTTCCCCACTGCTCCAAACAGTGAGACAGAGCTTAAGAGAACGTTTTCCAGTCCGAGTGTGTTCTGCTCTGAATTGTCTTAATTATGCGTCAGTTTATTGCTTGTCAGGAGCTTCCTCTTCTTATCACGTTATAATCAAGGTGGGTGAGCTTGTTCCGTCATATTGCACAAGTTTCTCCTGCTTGGCATGGCTTTTTGGCTTTTCACTGAATTTGTCTCAGTTTCAGAGAAAAAAAAAATAATTATGATTGGTGTAATATAACCCTAAAAAAAAAAAAAGGTAAGTTTCCAAATGGCATGTAAGTACATCTTCAGAAAGTAGGCTAGATGAGAGGTTGTTAGGGAAAAATGCTCGTAGGGAGCCTGAAGTGTCCCAGAGATGGCAAGGATCAGTGTGAAAATGATGGTAATTGGAACTGATAAAAACAGTTTATTAAAAATGTTGTGATGTGAGGGACAGCATTTTCAAATGTGGAAGACATTAGAAAAGCCCGCCCCACTCGGTGGATGTTAAATAGAGATGGAAAAAATTATTTTGAAAGATTTCCAAATTCTGTTCTGCCGAGGTCACTTTGTTGCAGCCTATTTGGTGGTTTGCAGTTGATTATCTAGCTTTGTTTAACTTACATGCCTCATGTGGTGTTAGGTGTTGGTTCGTGCAGTTTGAGTGCTGCATAACAGCAGGCTCGCTCTCATCTGGGAAGGCCAGACATTGGTCTGGGTGTGATGAGAGCACTGGCCTCCATGATTTCCTCCACTTTAGAAAGGGCTTTGGAGATTTGTGTTTGAGTGGGTAGGCAGACTGATGTGATAACAATTGAGAAAACGCCTTTCTGAGTGCCCTGAGAGCTGCAGCCTTCAACAGAGAAGGGGGTCCCGTGACAGCTCTGTAGTGACACAGACAGAATCCAATTAGTGGCCACTCCTGCTGGTGATACGAGACCACTCCTAAAAAATTTTCCACCATTGCCACCCTCATTGTAATCCCATCCATGATCCCGATAATGGGATCACGAGTGTGTTTTAAGAAGGCCTGTTTAAATTTTAACTACTATCTGAGGAGGTTTTGAGGATGTAAGATTAAAGGCATTGAATGGTGCAGCTCACACAGAGCTACGTGATGTGCATGTCACCCCGCAGCCGCTTCTCCCGTGTTATATTTTCTCAGTACCTCAAACACAGAGCTACAGAGTTGGGTATCGGGGGTGGATGTACATGGTGAGTATTCCATTGAGTCACACTGTCTGCGATGTGGTTACCTGTGGATCTTCACAGCTACAAGTATGAAACGCAGCAGGAGATGGGAGATGACACCCATCTTTTGTTGTGCTCCTGCAGTGGCAGCAAGTCACCTTGTTTCTTCCTTAAACAAGTCCTAAACCATCATTCTCTGCTTTCACAGCTGGACAGCAACCTATTATTTGCTTCCCCAACACCTTTTTTTTTTTTTTTTTTTTCATCTTTCACTTTTTTTTGCTGCAACACATTCTTATTTAGGCTTTCCCTACCTTCTCTGTTTCCATATGATCAGTCAGTCTCTGCTTGGTCTTGCCAAGCAGTGCACAGTAGATTCTGTTGGATGCTTGTAGGATACCCTAAAATGGAACAACTCCTAATGCCTCCACCAGTATTACCTCAGAGTGCAGCACAGTAACATCTGAATTGCCAAACCAAACAGCTTTTATCTTGTAGCAGAATCATTTTAACATGTTTTAGGTATGTCAGTATAATCCTTTGAGAGCCTCTCTAAGATCTTTCCCTGGTAAGATGAATTCCATTTTAATTTTTGGTGTCATATGACCTTTATTTTCTGAAAAAAGTAGTATTCAATTCACCTTTTGGTTTGTGCAGACCACACAGCTGTTCTGATATCAGTTATTTCCCAGAACTTCAATTTCCCCTTTCAGAAACTGTTTAAAACCTTTGGTGAAGTCTTTCTTGCTGTGATTGCTCTATCAGTGTTGGAGCTCTGAGCCTTCCTGGCTTTAGCCATCACTGGCAATTTGATTCTAGTGAAACATTTCAGTAATATAGATGAGCTCTTTAGCCAGGAGTTCTTTACTATGTTCTTAAATTTTGCTTTGAATTATTTTATAGCAAAAAATTGACTCCATGTTATCTTGTAATTGTTATTTTTCTCTACAGAGATGGTAGTACAGGTGAAACTTGAAACTGTTCTTTTTTTTTCCACTACATTTATCACAGATGGTGTGGTAATACCATTGCTTATTCTGGAAGATTGCTAGATGTGGTTCTATGCTGTTTAGTAGAGCAGTGCTAGATTTTCCACAGAATAATTCACGGAGATTCTAAATGAAAGCAGAACACTGAAAATCAATCATTTTATGTTTGGTTTAAAAAAAAATAATCTCTCCTGATGTTGTCTGAGAATAATTATGGCATTCCATGTTGCCATCTCTCTGATGTGACTCTACTGCATCCTACCAAGGAGAGATGCTGTTCCACAGCAGCTGTATTTTTGTGGTGCTCCCCAGGAGGTGAAGTCTGTTGGAAAACCCACAGAGAAAATGGGGAAACCTTTGGCACAAGAGTTCTGGAGAATAAATGTAACAGGGAGCTGAAAAGAGGGATTGTTTTTCTGAAAAGCATCCATAAAAACAGAGCAGTGGTCTGTTCCAGTATTGTAATTGCAATGCGCCAAGATGTTCATTATTTTAGCGTGTGCACTGTTTTGTCTGTTTTCACTTACAAAGAGAAAAATGTGTTACCAAGCCCATAAATGTCTGCAGAACTGCCGAGTCCCCTGATATAGCCTTGTGATATTTAGCCTCCTTTGTAAAGCATCAAGTGTTAGGGTTAAGATCTTACTTGAGAAGTTCACATCTCTCCGTTCTGATTTTTAAATTTAATCCCTGTATTTGCTGAGGAAGCTGACGTGCACACAGCTCCAGAAAAGCGGAGAAAACTAACGGGAATCCCAAATCTTGCTATGTGAACAAAGTGGGTTTGTGTTCATTATGCATGGTGATTATAAAAATTACCTGAGGTTTGCTGTAATCAAATTCCCCTTGGTATTTCTAATCATTTGTCTGATAATTCCCATTTGGTACAGAGGTTTTATCACAGCAGAGGGCAAGGCTCCTTGTCTATGCTTGTTGTCCTGGAGAAAGTCATCCTCAATTCTCCCATCCTCTGCCTGCAGGTCTGTGTTCCCTTCTCCTCCCTTGTGCCAGGTCTGGCGCCTGACTCACCACCCCATGAGCTCACTGAATCATTGGGAAGCTGCGTTTGCTGCTGGTTTGGTGAGCTGATTCAGCTCAGCAAGCAGGCAGACAGCTCAGCATCCATGCAGAAGCTGGTGGCTTGGGATGAAGGGCAGAAACATGGCCACCACTTGAGGGGTATGAGACCATACCTGGTGACTCTCACTCTGTGTACTGGGACACTGCATCCGACTGTGGCAGAATGCCTAGTAACAGACACGTGCCAGCATGGTGATGTGCAGAAGGTTTGATGTGCGTGTTTCTAATGAAAGCATTTTGGAGAAAATTGTTGCAGAGTTACTCAGAAGATAGAAAGACCTGCTTGGTTTTTTTTGACATTTTAAATAGACGACTAATCTTTGAGAGAAATTAATACAAAGTATGGGGATAAAAGGGTAAATAAATGCAAACACTTGCCTAGGTACTGCTTTAATGAGATGCTGAAGGTGGAATCCAGTGTGCATGGCTAGGGCATTTGAGGTGCTTCTGAATGTTAAATACTTATAAAGCAGCCACCTAAAGGCAGGCACTCTCTCTAATCAGTGAGTAGAGTCCCTCTGAAGGCCTTCAGGCATTTCAGTTAGGTTGACAGGATTTCCTTTTAGAAACCTTCAAAGACACTTGCTTCTTTCATTGTATGTGGAGGGAATGGAGCTTGCCCACTTATTTTTACCAGGATTGCTTAGGAGCTTAAGCTGGAGGGACTTGATATCACCTTGAGTTACTTGGTTGATCCACAGATGAGTGATGATATGGATAAATGTTGTCTGTGTTTGAACAGCCATGGTGTAATTCCTAAAGTATCACTTCAGGGTGTCTCATACACTTTCCGCAGAAGAAAGCATGAAGCAGGTCTCTCATTTGAACAGCAGGAA